GCACCCAAAGGGACTGGTTCCACCCCAGGGAGCTGCCCCCAGCACAGGGAGGGGTTCATTAGTGACACAACACCAAGTGACCCAGCAGGGAGAGTCATTCCCCACCCTCCCTGCCCCAGGGACTGCCCAAACCTCCCCCCAAACCTCCCCCAGGGGCTGGGCTTTGCTCAGGGGGCAGCATTTCCCATTTTTGTGTTCCTTTGGAGCATCCCCTTCTTCCCCACTTCCCAGGTGAACCAGAACAGCCTTTTGTTCAGCAGGGTATTAGAAGGTGGTGGTTTAGAAGACCCTGGTTCCAGGAGCCTGGCAGTGCCAGGGCAGAGCCAGAGCCAATCCCACCCCCCAGTCCCACCCAGGACGTCAGACAGGGGCAGGGTTAGGAAAGCAGGGGGTTCCCAGCTCGGGTCCCAGGTTAAACTTGGCTTTTCCCCACAAGCAGCACCCAGTGGTGGCCCCAGACAAGGTGCACACACCCCACATGCAAACCAAGCACCCCCTCACCCCAAACCAGCAGGGGACAGGCACCCCACGGGGACATCATGGGCATGCAGGGAGGGCAGGGCAGGGCCAGCAGCATCACACCAGGGCCAGGGGCAGGGCAGGGGCTCGGGGGGCAAAGCAGGGGCTCTGCATTAGGGCTGGCAGGGGGGTTAGGGAGCAGCAGCTTCGGGGCAGGTAGCAGTGGGTTCTTACCTTCTGGAGGTGGAGGGCAACCCAAAAAAAGGAGAGAAAGACCCCTTTAAAAACTTGAGCAGAACAACGGACTCATGGTTAATTCACACAAACCCTCCCCCCTCCATCCACCAGAGCCACATTTCAAATGTTTTGGGTCGGCCTGGGGGAGCCCTGGGGAGGGAGGTGGCACTGCCAGGGGGGGCCAGTCTGCTCCCAGGGCAGCTCCAACCACAGGACTGTCACCTTCCCCGGGGATGAGCTTCCCAGGAGCCAGGGGGGCCCTTGGAAGTCTGTCTGTCTGTCTGCCCCGTGCAGACACACAGTGGAACAGGAACTTCCTCCTTCAGCCCCCTCAGCACAACCCCCAGCTCACAGCCCCAGGGCAAAGAGCAGCCCTGGAACCCAGGCTGGCAGGTTGGGATGGAGCAGGACCTTCAAAGAGCAGCCCTGGAACCCAAACTGCCAGGGGTGGGATGGAGCAGGACCTTCAAAGAGCAGCCCTGGAACCCAGGTTGGAAGGGTGGGATGGAGCAGGGCCTTCAAAGAGCAGCCCTGGAACCCAGACTGGCAGGTTGGGATGGAGCAGGACCTTCAAAGAGCAGCCCTGGAACCCAGGCTGGCAGGCGGTGGAGATTGGAGCAGGAACTTCAAAAAGAGCAGCCCTGCGAACCACAAACTGCCAGGAGGTGGGATTGGTAGCAGCGACCTTCACCATTCCCCACAGATATCCATGGCCTCACCAAGCATACCACAATTGCCAACTCAATAGCACACCTGGGCCTACCCCCCAGCACTCTGGGGCTGGGGGTTACCCCACCCTGTCTCAACCCTGCAGCCACCTCTAGGGCACACCAGCACTTAGCACGGGCAGAAAGGCTCTGCCTGAAGAACGGGGGATTCCTGAGGAATCCTGAGGAAGCTGCAACATGAGGATCCTAGAGGGATCCTGGAGCTGCACATGAGGATCCTGAGGGCTCCTGGAGCTGCACAGGAGGATCCTGAGGGTTCCTGGAGCTGCACATGAGGATCCTGAGGGCTCCTGGAGCTGCACAGGAGGATCCTGAGGGCTCCTGGAGCTGCCACGTGCACCCAAAGCAGGAGCTGGGGCAGGACAGGCAGTGCAGGCAGAGGTCTCAGCCCCACTCAGGGGAAGCCCCCTCCTCTAAGGCTTTTGGGGCACAGAGTTAAGAGCTCCAGTGCTTTTGGGTTCCCCCTCTGTGTTTCTGCCACAGAACCACGAGCCAGCTCGTACTGAAGAGAAACCCTAAAGTGAGTTTTTGAGGCCTCAGCTCCAGTGTTTTCCAGGAGAGAGCCAAGTTCTGATTCCTGCAGTGCTCATCAATACAGGATTACACTCCCTGTCCCCAGTCCCTCTCCAGCTCTCCTGGAGCCCCTTTATGCCCTGGAAGGGGCTCCAAGGTCTCCTTGGATCCTTCTCTTCTCCAGGAGAGTGTTCAAGGGGCAGAAGTGGCACCCCCAGCTTTTCCTCACTTTAGGAACTGTCCTGGTAGAAGCCCCTGCCTGGCTCAGAGCAGAAACCCCTGCCCAAGGGGACAGCCAGGAGTGCCCAGAGGTGACACCCAAACACCAGTGACCTGGTTAAACATTAACCTGGAGCCCTCCCCGGGACTCCACCTGACAGGCACTGATCCAAAAATAGCTCTGACCTGGACTTTACACCGGAGCCCTTCCACAGGGATTCCACTGAGCACATCCCAGAGGCCTCAGACAACACCCTCTGCTCTGCCCTCAGCTACAGATGTCAGCTGGTCACTGTTTGTCCCCTCCAGAAAGCACCAAGCCCAGCCCTGAGCTGCCTGAAGAACTCCCTGCACTGGTGTTCCTGACCCTCCCTGCTCCCAGCCCCACTCCTGAGGAACACAGGGAGAAACCCTGGAGAGCCCCTTGCAATTAAATTCAAAAAAATTCCCCTTTCCCACTGGGAAAACATCAGCAAAGAGCCCCAGGACCCCAGCTGTGAGTCAGGAATCCTGCACAGCACAGCCCCAAGAGGCTGGCAGTGCTTTTAGGGACGTTTTAGAAGAGCCACCTCCCAGGAGAGTGACAAAAACCTCACTCACTGGAGAGGTCTGAGATAACCCAGGCTGGTGGTTCCTCAGCAAGGCACGTGGATGTCCCTGTCCTGCCCCCCAAACACACCCAATACTGCCAACATCAAAGCCAGGGGACACGAATTCAAGGTGTCCCAGCTCATCTGGAGGTCACCTTTAAAAGCAGCTGGGAATTAAACAATGTGTGAAGTTATTTATGGTCCAGTTGGCTGCAGCACCTTCCAGGCCAGCTCACAGTTTGCAAACTCAACCCCCCGGGAGGAGGTTTGAGGTACAGGAAAACCAAACACTCCTGGCTATCAAGAGAAGAGGCCAGCAGAGAATGTTAATTTTGGTCAGATATTCACTGATTTTAACACGTCCAAGGAGATCAAGGAAATTAAAAAATGTGGATTTAAAAAGCTGCTTCTCCTCAAACAAACCTGACTCCCTGTTGCTGCCTCTCACTGTCCACCCTGCCCATCCACCCCAGGGAACTCTCCCAGCTGGTCCTGGAGCACCAGGACAAAAAATCCTAAATACAGGTGAGGCAACCAGCCAGTATCACCCTGGGTTTCTGTTCTGCTACCAAAAAAAAACCCGTTATGAAAGATCTTGCCTTGTCCAAAACTCAGCCAAACTGCCCTGCACGCAGCAGAAACCTCTGCTCCCTCAGCTGCTGCTGTTTTATATCACAAGTTGTTCTATATTCTCCTTCTTCCCTGCAATTCCAAACCCTCTACACCAGCACCAGTGCCCCGAGTCCCCTGAACTCCCCCCATTCCCTGGAGCTCCTCCAGGAGCAGCTCCTGCCCCAGCACAGCCCAGGGACCACTGCAGGGACAGGGACTGGCTGCCCTGCAAACAGCAAAATGACACCCCCTGGGCTCCCACTGCCCTCTGCCTCACCCCAGCACGTCTGTGGGAAGGTCACCTGTCACTCTGGGATTGTTTTCTCTCCAGAAATCAGAGATTTTTAAAGGGTTTGATGTAACTGAGGATCTGAGGCCATAAATGGTGAGTAAAACCCCAACAAACACCCCCTGCAGTGGGAGCTGGCAGAGTTTGAGGATGAGGTGCTTGGTGGGAGTACTTTGCTACCAAGAAATCTGCAGTTTGGTTCACTGAAAGCGAATTGCACTGAGAAACAACTCCCCAAACTCTATAAACACCTGATTCACCCAAGGCAGGAGCCAGGACAGGGCACTGCTGTCACCTGCTGCCAGGGGCTCTGCCAGAATGAACCTCCCCAGCCTGGAGAGCTCCCCCTGCTCCCCTGACAGCCTTTCCTCCTTCCCTAACAGCAGCTTTCCTCTAGGAAACGTTGGTTTGTGTTCAGCCCATCTTGCCACGGGCTGTGACTCACCAGAGCCCCAACCCAACCACCAGCACTGGCCCTCACTGCAATGTAAGTGCTCAAAATGGGACAATCCTTTAGGTTTTGACCCAAATAAAGCCTTATTACACCAGTGTAACACCTGAGGGGAACCATCCCTACCCAGCACCCAGGTGTGGCCAAGGGGAGGAGCTGAGATGAGTTTCCCCCCTGGCACTGCTGGGCAGTCTGTGCTGTCCTGGTGCTCAGCACCAGCTCCTTGAGAGGGGAACACAACTCCCCCAGCCCAGGCTCAGCCCCCAGCCCGACCCTGAGAGGAGGGGGAGAGGCTGACAAGGGTTATGGGCACTGCTGCACTTCTGGTCTGCCCTTTTTGGGGTTTTTTTGCTGTTTGGTCCCAAATGTGGCCTGAGCAGGCAGAGACTGGACCCTCTGGGTGCCACCTGAGCTCCTGCTCGAGGCTCTGCCCTGAGAGAACACCCTGACCTGCCAAAAAGGGTTCTGAGTCTCCTAAAAAGGGTCCTGAGTCTCCTAAAAAGGGTCCTGAGTCCCCATGCCTGGGTGTTTGCTGGCCCTGTGCTCTGCCACCAGGACAGAGCAGTGCAAAGAGGCAAGTTTGGGATGGCTGCTTAATTCCAAAACAGAAGAACAGGCACAGCCAACCCTCTTTATTCCCCCCCCCTCTCTTTTCCTTTGCTCTCAGAAAACAGAAGAAACACTTTGTACCTCCTGTGGACAGTTGTTCCCTCACCCACTTCTGGGAAAGAGGGGAGCCAGCACTCTGGAATTCAGCTGCCCTGGAGCTGCCCTGTGTCCAAACCAGAGGGGAACCAGGGAGCTGGAACCCTCCTGTGCCCAGCACCCCAGAGCCTGATCCCCTGGGAGCAGGAAGGTCCCTCAGGCAGAACCACACACCCCCTTCCAGGTAATTCCAAGGAAAACAGCAGCAGGCATGAAGTTTTTTGTACCAGGATCTTGAGCTGGGGCTGCTTTGTCACTTCCTGGGTGGTTCTGAGTGTGGTTTGGGTCATTTCAACACTTCAGCTGAACTGGCAGCTCACTTCTTGGTCACAAAACAACTTAAAAACCTGCTGTGCTTTCTGCAGTGCCTGAAGCACCTGATCAGCTCTGGGTTATCCCATAAAAGAGCTGGAGTCCTGCACACCTGGGAATCAGGGATGACCCTCTTCCAGCTCCCTTGGGGGGGAAAAGCACTGGTGACCTGAGGGCTTGTTTGCAAATGGGACCCAGACACCAAACCTGCACCATCCCAGTCCCAAAGCTCCTGAGGAGATGGGGGTTTAACAGCAAACCACCCCGAGCTGGGACCAACGGGTTGGACTGGCACAGGTGCTCCACTCACCTGATCTCCTTGAGTCCTTCCTTCTGGATAACCTGAAGGATCTCCTTATGGCTCATGGGTGTGTTGGGATATTTCTCCAGGACCTGGCAAGCGAGAGCAGATTGAGAGGAAGTCACTCATTTGCATTTTGACTTTAATATTCAACCTACATTTAATGGTTGGGATTTCTCCAAGGGAAGGAACTGCTGACCCTCTCCCACCTCATGGCCACCCCCTGAAGGGCACAGGGAGCAGAGGGACTCCAGAGAGGAGCTGAGGGACTTCAGTGCAACTCCTGAGTTTTATTTTGAATGTGCTGCCCCTTGACAGCACTTTGTGGAGAATCAAAGGCTCCACAGCACCGGGGTAGCTCCCCAACCATCAGCTTTCCCACCCTGGAATGCTTCAGGAACTCTGAGGTACCTCAGACCCAACACTCCCAAAAACCCCAAACCCTTGAGGCAAAACTGCTGCTCAGTTTGGCTGAAAGGACCAAAGAAGCTGAAGGAAAGAGGGAGGTTTGACACTGTTGGGAACTCTCTGCACACAGGTCAGCCTTTGAAGTCCATAAATGTGGTCCATGGAAATGTGAACTGCCAAACACATTCCCACCCCTCCCCAGCCCAGCCTGGCACTGCCCTCCTCCCTTCCGAGGGCACTGAGATGCAAAAGTAGAATTGAAAGAGTGGCCAGGGAGATGTCTGAGGCTTCTGAAGGAAGATGCCAGTTACCACACGTCATTTGGATATTTTAGGCAGTCGTTTGTGCTGGGGGATGGGCAGGAAATGCCTCGTTTCCTTCTTAGTCATCAGCTTTTGACCCGAGCCCGGCACAGCAACCCCCAGTCCCGACCTGGGGCTTCCACCAGACCCAAACCACAGGAGCCTGCAGTGCCAACCCCGACAGTGCCAGCCCTGCCAGTGACTCTGCAGGAGGAGACCAACGGCTTCAGTTCCTCTGTTCAGCAGCTGTGCAGGACCCAGGGCTCCCCCTGCACCTCCTTCCCTCCAGGAACACCCCAGGTTCTGCTCTCCTGGAAAGGACCTGGCTTGGGCTGCAGCCTCTCCCTGCTCAGAGAACAAAACCCCTGCATCTGGCTGCATCTGCAGCTCTGGAAGCTCCAGCTGATGGCCCCATCCTGGTAAATCTCTTGTTAAGTGGTGTTAAAGCCTGACTTTCAGAGGATCAGACAATCCTAAAACAGTTCAGATGGGAAGGGAGCTCAAAGATCACCCAGCTCCACTCCCTGCCGTGGGCAGGGACACCTTCCACCAGCCCAGGAGCTCAGTCTGAAAGCTTCTTCTGCACCAAGTGAGGGCAAGAAATGAGGTTCATCTCCATTTCCATCTGCAGAGTCACCTCCCCACTGCAGGCAGCAAAGCCAGGAGAGAAAGGAGGCAGTGCTGGGAGTGCATCCCCAGGGAGCCTGAGGGCACTGCTCACACACAAACCCAGCTGGGCATTCTTCTCCCTGGGCACTGTGTTCTCCTCACTTCCACCACCTGGACGTGCTCCTGACAGGCCCCATCTGGCAGCAACCCCTCAGTTCATTAACTCCTCACCACCACAGTGCCAATTAACACCCAGCTGGACCAGGGAACCTCATCAGGGAGTGCAGGGAGCAACAGAAGCTTTCCCAACAACATCCCTGCCTGCCCCCAGGGTGCTCCCAGGCACCTCTCCCAGGTGTCCTGCCCCCACACCTTCCTCCCCCAGGCCTTTTCCCTGGAGCTGAGCTCAGCAGGGCAGCTTGGCCTCCTGCCACCCTGCCCTGCTCCCTGCACACGGCCTGGGCCGCCCTCAGAGGGTCACCCTGGAACATCAGCCAGCTCTGCTGGGTTCCTCTGCTCCACAGGAGACATTCCTAGAACCGTGGAATCACTTAGCTTGGAGGACACCCCTGAGACCACCGAGCACAACCAGCCCCCAGCACTGCCAGGGCCACCACTGACCCACGGCCTCAAGTGCCACCCTGGCTTTGCCAACTCAGCATCAAAGTGTCTTGTTCAGCAACCACCAGCACAGGGGAAACCCATCAAAGGGCCCCTGTGCCTCCCCAGGACCAGGATTCATTTGCACCCTCCTGATAAGGGTCATCTGGTGCTCTTCAAGAAGCTTATTGAATGTTGACTCTCTGCCTGGTGGGCTGAACAGAGCAGTTCACACCTCCAGCTGCACCAGGAGCTGCCTCCTGCCACACAGGCTGAGCCAGCAGAACCACGAGTGAGGGCTGGAGAGACTCTTAAAAAAACCCAGATACACTGAAGCACCTTCTCCTCTCCCCTCTGCCCTGTAATCCCCTATCAGATCTTTCACTGGAGCCATTTTCAGTTGCTGTGTGTAAATAAATAAAACCTCCTGTCTGCCAGAGGGCTGGGTTGGAGAGGCACTGGAGGATTAGGAGGGAGGGTTTATGAAGGACCTTCGTGCTGTGCTGAGCCAGGAGAACAAACCAGCAGGTGCCACCACTGGGTCCTGGAACCCTTCCTTCCCTGAGCAGAGCTGGAAATGCTGACAAGGGTCAGCCCAATGCAGGGGAAGCCAACTGCTTGGGATGGGGTCACTGATGCTCAAATCACACCCCCTCAGGGGGGGAAACAGTCCACTTGGCTCCTTATTGACAAAAAAACATTAATCATGGAATAGTTTGGGTTGGGAGGGACCTTACAGGTCATCTCATTCCAACCTGCCTCGTTCCAGTCCTGTTTTCCAGTTCCAAGGATCATCAGAAGAAAAGATGTTTCCTGATTTTACACCTTGGTTGGGCTCGATGGCCTTAAAGGGCTTTTCCAACCTCAGCAAAGCTGTGGTTCATCTCTTTTGTGTCATGGTCCTGCTGAAGATGTTCACATGAATCAGCTGATATTGGTGTTCATATCACATAAATAGGAGAGTGTTAAAAGTTAAACCCAACCACCCTCTAACCAGGACTGCCAGGACTCTGTGTGATCCTGGAGGGTTTCTCCAGCTGAAATGGTTCTGTGACCCTGGGAAATGTGTCTTGGGCTGCTGTACCTGCAGACAGGGGGACATCTACCCCCTCTGCTCCCCAGTGAGCAGAAATCATTGCTCACACAGAGCTCCACCTCTGGTCCAACAGAGCTAAAACTGCCACGAGAAAATGCATTTCCAGGCTGCCCATTCCTGGGTTTTGTTCCTTTCCTCAGTCCTCTGACAGAGGAGGAGGTGAGAACCCACAGGAAGATCATCTGAAAGCAGGAGAGCAGGCCAAGGGCTGGGGCTGGCTGGCTGGACTGAGGGCTGAGTGAGAACAGGTCAGGAAGGAAGTGGTGAGAACCTCAGCTCTGACACCTCAGTGCTCAGGCAGCAGCTCTGCCAGAGCAGGGCTGGGACCTGGAGGTGGAGCTGGAACCTGCAGGGCCAGGCTGAGCTGGGGAGGCATTTCCACACACCCTACTCCATCTGAATTCCTCCTAAAAAACACACAGGCCAAATTCATGGCTCCTTACATCCTACATTTTCCTACTGCTTCTCACTAGGAAAAGGAAAGTTACTCTTCCTACAGAGCTTACAGAGACCCTGCACTGAACCCCCTCACACCAGGAAAAGATGGGAATTAACTAAACCACCACTGCTCTTCCCCTTCCCAGCTCCACCTGCCCCATGGAACAAAGCTCTGGGCAGTGGAGATCCCCCCCCAGGACACTGGATCACTGGGATGGTCACCAAAGCTGTGCTCTCCCGGTGATTCCATACACACCCAGGGATCCCATGTGGGCACTCCATACCCACAGCGACCCAGACAGCACTGGGGGTGCCCCAGCAGTGCCCAGCACAGGGACAGGCACTGCCCTGGGCCTGTGGCCACCCCATTTGTGACACAAATCAAACAGCAGGAATGAGTTCCTTCCAGACCCAACACCAGGGCCTGGGGAAACTCAGCGACTGCCAAACAAAACCCAACGTTCAGGGCTGATCCCCGGGCCAGGAGGGATGGGTGCAGTGACAGGGAACACGGTGCCTCTGCCCCAGGGAGCAAATCCCCCCCTCCCCTCCCTGCACAGAGGTTCCTGGCTCCCCCAGAGCTGCAGAGCAGCCCCAGGACAGCACCCTGGCGTGCAGGACACCACAGCAGCCACACTCCTGGGAGGGCTGCACTGAACCACCCATGAAACGGGGGCTGAAACCCTCAGTGAGGGAGGCAAAAGCAGAGCTGCCCTCCCCCAGAGCTGCCCAGCACAAAGCACCTCTCCCTGGGACGCAGGGCCGGGCTGGGAGCTCAGCCCCTGCCAGCAGCAGGAGTTGGCTGCACTGTTCCAATCAGGAAAGCTCTGAGTGATCCAAGGCCTGCCCACGTACATCCAGCAGTGCACCACGCCAGGATTCCAAAGGGAGGAGGATGAAAGCCTCGTGGAAACCCGTGTTTGAAGTGGCTGGGTCTGTTTGTGTTTGTTTGGAGCAGCCATCAGCCCATCGGGGTTTAATCCCCAGGTTCTCCAAGGCTGCATGTGAAGGAGACCTCAGCCCATGAATGCTTTCAGAGAGCCTCTGGAGAAGGGCACTTGGGAATTCCTGCTGCTGGTTGTTCCCTCGTGCAAAGGAGGGTTTAAAACTGGGTGACCTAATGGTGCAGACACAGCCACTGCTTGCACCCCTTCCTGGAAACAGCATTTAAACTTCCCAGAGCCATGAATCCACAGCAGCCTGAGGAGTTCCTGCCTCAGTCCCCACAAAACCTGATCATCTGGTTCCACCTCCTCCTCCTCACACCCAACAGGGACCTCCGAGCTCCCAGCCATCCATCCCCCTCCAGGAGGAGAGTTCCAGCTGAGCTCCAGACACCAGCAAGAGCTGCAAATCCCCTTCCAGCAGGAACCATCCCCGTGCAACACAAACCCTGGAGAGGGAAGTGGGTCAGCTATAAAAAGCCCGGGGAGAATGTGAAATTCCTGCTCGGTCAGACCCCCCGGAGCAGCCACGGGAACACCAGGGACAGGGGCAGGGACAGCAGGGACAGGGGCAGGGACACCAGGAACAGGGGCAGGGACAGCAGGGACAGGGACAGCAGGACAGGGCAGGACAGCAGGAAACAGGGGCAGGGACAGCAGGAACAGGGCAGGACATGAGGGGGCAGGAG